CGGATTCGACTGTAATTGGTCAGTTTCTTACGGCATAAGGCATAAAACACCTATTGTAGATCCGGACTTACAGTCGAATTCTAGGAAAATAATTGACTGTGATTCGCCAATTTCTTATGGCTTAAAGCTTAAAACCTTATTGTAGATCCGGACTAAAGGCCGCAGCACACACTCTTGCATAACGCATAATGCATAGTGCATAAGCGAATCAACTAATCAGAATCTTTCCTTTCCTCTCATTCCATGGAAAAGAAGAATTTTGATTGGTTGATTCGCTTATGCACTATGCATTATGCGTTATGCAAGAGTGTGTGCTGCGGCCTTTACAGTAACCTTAAGGACCATTCCACACAAACTTGCATAGCCGCATAAACATATGCATAAAGAAAATCATCCAATCGTAGTTTACGTTTGTCTTTATGACAGAAATGTAATTGGATAATTTTCTTTATGCATATAGTTATGTGGCTCTGCAAGTTTAGGCCTTAAGACGTGAACTTAAGATTGGCCGATGAGCCAATCAGGATACTGCTTTAGATCTACGTACTCTAACGGAAATAGAAATGTAAACTTATCCATAAGGCGAGTTTCAACCGATTGAAACTTATCTTATTATGAAGTATCTTATTATAAGTTTACTGTTATTTCCATTTCCGTTAAATTACGTAGACCTAAAGCAGTATTCTGATCAGCTTAAGTTTACGTTTTAGACTGAAGTCACATGGAACGGTTCATGCGGCAGCGGAACAAAATTCAACCAATCACGAAGTATTTTTATATTTTCTGCACGATATCTGTTTCTATTAGTACTTTACGATTTGCTACCACATGAACTGCTGCCGCATGAATGTTATGTTATTATGTTATTCTTTTGGACTTTCGTATTCTGCATATTCTCACGCGAAGAAGAAGTAAGACGCATATGTCAGCAAGATTATTGTGTGTGCGATTATATTTGAAGAATTATAAAATTGCGTGACTGTCTACAAAGCATCAACATGAAGTGCTGTGTGCCTGGGTGTTGGCAGAGAAGTAAAAAGAGCCTTTAATTTCATAGGTAAAAATAATTGAAGTGACATTATTTTTGTTTATATACCATTCATGTCCATATAGATTTCCATACATCGATAGTACATCGATCGCAACGCGCGCGCGAACGCTTTTGATTCGCTCAAGCATCCGACCCAGCCAAAATGGCGGCTGATCAATTGCGGCCACGAATTTTCCTCGATGCCCATTCCAGTGTATATATAGTTCAGTGCCTGACACTCCCATTCATTTCTTGAGTTTGGCGCATAGAAATAGTAGTACTAGAGTACGCATTAGAAGAGTGGGGGTAATCCTATCTACAAAAGGGCACACTCATTTGAATCCTTCCTTTCTCTCTCGTTTCGCGCATGCGTATAGCCGTATACTCTCGAGAGAAGGGATCGAAAGAAAGAACGAGGAACTGAAAGTTTCATATAAGTTGAGAAAGTATAAAGTTACAATTTCATGCAGCGAAGCTTTGCTGGCGAAGATCCCCCACTCTGCTGACACCGAAGCCAGCGTTTCGCTAAGTCAACGCTTCGCTAAAGGCCATGGTACATAGAAAAACTTAAGACGTAAGACTTAAGCAGTAACGAAATCAACATGTTGGATTCGCTATTACTTACGTATGGTCTTACGGTCTCTATTGTGATTGGTCGATTCATTTACTGCTTAAGTCTTACGTCTTAAGTTCTTTTAGGCGTCGCCTACAATACACGGAGTAAGAAGTAAGAGTAAGAAATTGACCAATCACAGTCGAATGTGAGAAGAATAATCAACTGTGATTGGTCAATTTCTTACTCTTACTTCTTACTCCGTAGATTGTAGACGGGCCTTTATGTGCCATGGCTTTAAGGCTGAGTTTCCACTGAGCGCGTTTCCACTGAGTGTATAAATACATAGAAATTTATTTATAACTACTGGATATACATTTTGACCATATTCAACATATTTTATACATGATTTTTGCTTTTGTGTTTATTTGTTGTATAGTATATTTACTCAAATGTAAATCACTAAATAAAAACCATTTTTGTTAATATAATGTTAATATTTAGCTTTACTCAGTAATAACAGCTTTATTAAGCACTGTAGAAAAAAAATTTCCTATTATTTATCAACTCAGTATTTAAGAAATACCGTATATATGAAATGAAAAGAAAAAATCAATATGATTCAACTTAATTCAATAATTATTAAAACAAAAATGGCAAAATCTAAAATTTGTTTACACATTCAGGTAAAGTTAGCAATATGATTGCTCATACCGAAGATGTTACAGTCGATGCCAGCACTAGCGTGCAAACTGCTCAGAGTGATACTAGTAAAAAAGAAAGGACCGATATAGATTATACAGAAAACTGTATCATCGCCGATGATGCCATCACTAGCGTGCAGACTGCTGAGAGTGATACTGCGTATGTTAGCAGCGAAGAGATGTTATCTGATGAAGAACTCAGTAGAGGTTCAGGAGGGATGAAAATAATCGAAAATTCTGATGAGAAGATGCAAAGATTATTACGACTCCTTGAAAAAAGCGAAAGATTGCGCAAGAAGATGAAAAAAAAGCTGCAACGGATGAAAAGGCAGATGGAGCAACTACGTACAACACATAGTGGGGGCTCAATTTTAAATGTAATTAAGCCAATTTTAAATGAAACTCAGATTAAGTTCTTAACTGGGACTATTAAGAAGATTCAAGAAATGATTCAAGAATGGCCAATTGATACTCTCAAAAGGGCTTATAAATTACGATTTGCATGCGGCAGAAATGGATATGAAGAACTTCGTAAAACGGTGTCTCTTCCCTCAATAAGAACCTTAACGAGGAAATTAGAGAATTTAAAGTTCGATAGTGGTATAAGTGACAATGTTTTTAAATTTCTCGGTATAAAGAAAACTTACTTTAATGATACAGACTAATGATATAGACTAATTTTAGATGAAATGCAAATACTACCCAGTAAGCAAAACATCATTACTACAACGTTATTACAACGATCTTCAATAACATATAACGTTTTCTAATATGATGGCCCGTATTCAGAACGCGCTTTTATCGATAAAAGCGCACTTTTATCTCTGAAATTCTATAATATGCGTGACGTAAAGTATGGTATGTTAGCGTGCTAACATCGTTGTAAGCGCGTTCTGAATATGGGCTGTTGTATTTAACGTTGTATACAACATCATTATGAACACAACCTTTGGCTGCAATTTGGAAGTTTCGGTAATGTTGAAATGTGCGTGTTATAACATTGCAAATAATGTTACATTAAGATTTTTCCGACATTGTCACAATGTTTCTCAAATAATATTGATAAAATGATGAAATTAAAATATATTATCAGATTGAATTAAATGGTAAAAATATAGGACAGTATAAGAGTCAGTAATTAGATAAACAAACTTAATATATATTCATATTATACAAAATAATGTTCTTGCACAGTCAATGTTAAATTGCAATAATTACAAAACGCAAAATCATAAAATTGAACAATATAATCTAATCTAAATAATAAATATCCGCTTAACGTTTCGACTCTTGTTTCGAGTCTTCTTCAGAAGTGAGAACAAATTGTATATGTATAAAAAATTGATCTTGTCGTGAAATTAATCCATCGAAGAATGAAATTTAACTCAATCGATTGTCAATCTCGTTGAAAAAACTGTAAGTATAATCAATAATATCGATTATTACCTCTAAGTTAAAAATAAGTTAGTTCATTCGCACCTTCACTGTTGGATTTCACAAACAAAAGGAAATTTCTCAAACAAGGCCAAGAAAGATGTACTGCCCGTTACAATTTTTCCAATTACTGTAACACGTCTGCCTGTCGTCACATCTACTTTTCGTCTAAACAACGAGAGCGAGTTTCAATAACATATTTTATTTATAATTGGTAAATATGCTCTGTGGAGACCTTCGGTGTCCGTCTGTAAGTTTAAACTGTTTGTTTGCTTCTTGATATTGACCATTTCAGAAATTAATCTTTTCCTATAGATTGGCTCTTCATCCAAAATTTCTACATTAGAACACTGCTCACCAAATGGAAAAAGAAAGGATATATCGACGATTTGACTTATAGAAAATTGTATTGTAGTGATGGGAGATTGCCGAGAGTGTATGGAGTTCCAAAGATACACAAACCTCAAGTCCCGCTTAGAATTATAGTGTCGTCTGTTGGTAGTCCACTGCATGCATTAGCTACATTTTTACATAAAATATTGTTCGAATCAATTCCAAGGGCCGAGAGTCACTTAAAAAATAGTTTTCAACTCATTGATGTATTGAAAAATGTTCAGATTGATAATAATTATTCGTTAGTTT